CCTTAATTAACTTCTACAACTCCTATATACTTTCCCCTGATTCTCCAGATTCTAACCGTAATTCTATAATTAACCACTTTTAAGAACTAAATCACTCATCCGTCCTCCTAAATTTCCTATTATATGGACTATTAATATATTTTACCAATACCTTTCAAAAACGAATTAATATCTATTCTACAGTCACCTTTAATTACAAAAATGAATTTATAATGCTGTCTAAGATTATTTTTTTCACTTTTGATTAGTAGTACAATCTTTTGGATTATTTGTTTTTATAATTTTGGATGTATTTTTGCCCATGAGAGCATTACTAAAAGACCAAAGATTGAATGCTACAACCTTATTGCAACATAGATATAGCATACATGAAGTATCAAAATTATTTGATATCTTTTAATCTACATGCTCTAGGATTTATAGAAAGTATGTGCTTCATATAGAACTTTTAAAAAAAAGATGCTTAAAAAGCATTATCTGTGCTTAAAGATAAATGTACATAAGAACCATTATAGTTGATGGACTAGATAATCCTGTAGACATGAAGAATGTTTTAAGTGAGCACTTGAATGTGGTCCTAGGTACCAACATACTAAAGTATAAACTTCATGAATCGAGTCATTGATCATTAAAGAAGTAAAAGAAGTTATTGCTCACAACTAAGAATATGCATTGTAAGTTAGAATTTACTTAACTTTATCAAATTCAATTGTTTATGATTGATATAGAATAATTTTTAGTGATGAGACTAATATCAATTAATTTCATTTTGGTGGTTGTATTTGATATTAGGTAAAAGATGGAGAATTTCAATCATTAGATCAACATATGAATCAAACAATTAAACATGGAGGTAATGCAATTTTTGTGTGGAGTTGTATGACATCTTGTGGTATAAGTTACATGTATAAGATAGATGAAAAGATGAAACAAGATTTATATCTTAGCATTCTTCAAGATAAGTTCATAAATATAATTGAATGGTATAGTTTTAATCTTTTTTTTTTTGTCATATTTTAGTGTAATAATACTCCTAAATATATTGCAAAATCAATCAAAGAATGGTTGTCAATGCAAAATTTTGATTTATTTACTTGGCTTCTTCATATACTTGACCTTAATCCAATTGAGCATGTATAGACACTTGTGAAACAAGAATTAAGTAGGTATCCATTATCAGCCCAAAGAATGCTTCAATTATAGGAGCATGTGCAAACTTCTTTCAATTCCATCACTATTAAGTAATTTTAAATTTTTTATTATAATATATCTTATTAAATCCAATTTGTTTTAGTTTCTAAGAAAAAATGGACAAATTACTAATTTACAAGTAGATATATTTTACAAAACTAAGTCAATAGACCTAAATTTATTTGAAATAAAATTTCTCTCTTATTGCTATACTTTTCAAATTGGAATTTCAAAAGATGATAGTCAGCTTAATTGTACATCTCACAAAAATTGCAATTTGATAAAAAGATCGATATTCTTTTAAGTATGGCTTCTCAAAAATTGATGATTTGCTGATTGATTTAGTTTTGAGAGTCAATGTAAGAATAAAAAATATATTAATAAGATTGAGAAATGCCTCATCCTTGCTTCAATATGTATTATCTATTTAGGAGCTATATTATTGTATTATAGCACAATTATTATGTGAAATAGAAAAGTAATGATTATATTATAGAAGAACTTAATTGTAAATATTATAATAAATTATCTTAAAAAGATAGATAATATTTAAAGAGGTAATAAAATTAATAAATTTTAATTTTATTATTTTTACAAAATAGACTTCTATTTACTTTGTAGAGCCATAAATGAAACAAAATAAAGTAGAATAACAAAATTAACATCATGTGCATCTTAAGATAAAAATAAATAGTGGTTTTTGGTAAAAATTAATTTTAAAAATTAGATATTGATAACCAAAGAGGACCAGTTATGAGCTTAGATCAAAATCAAATCCTAAGGCACAAAACCACACTCTTACAATAAAACATAGGCTAGTAAAAAAGCAAAGTTTTAGAAGAGACTGAAAAGAAGTTTTTTGGACATTGGTTTTAAGAGATTTGAGTTTATAATGACTATGTAAGAACTTTGCAAAGTTAAGGTTGTTTTGGAATGACTTTAGCTTTTAAGAAATAAAAAGAGTTTATACTTTAGAACATTTTCTAAGATTTGAAGTAGATCTAACGTTAAAAATTTATAAATTTATAATGATAGTTATTTTTTAAATTTATTACTATTATTATTATTATCATATATAGTGTAATTTTAAATTATATTAAATAGTTAATTTTAGGATTATAAAAACTCAAGAAAGTTGATATTTGGAAATTAGAGTTTGAAAGAACAATGAAAGTTTCTAAGATTTGCAGCAATTTGTCGATTGGATGTAGATAATTCATTTTATTTTATTGATAGAAAAATTAATTTCCTAAAATTTTAAATATTTTAAAATTAATTAAATAATAAAAATGAAAGATGTTGGTACCACAAGATCAACATTAAGGTTGAAAGAGTCTAACCTACACTTGAACAAAATATGAGATTTTTTTCCCCCATTTGGTAAATTCAATCTTTTCTAAATTATTTGTGCATATTTTCAACTAAGTTTTTGAAAAGTGTGCAAATATTAAGTAAAAATCAAAGATTAAATTATCAATTATTGAAATTTTAATCTATTCTAGAACTTGATTAGTATTTTATTAGGATACAGTTAAGATTTGATTAGGATTTACTTAAAATATATTAAAGATATTTTAATAATTATTTTAAAAACAATTAGAATATGATAAGATTTATCTTTGATTTTTTAAATTTTAATAGGATTAATTTAAGATAATTTTGAGCTTACTTAAATTATTTAAGGATGCTAAAGAGTATTTCTAAATACCTTATGTATTATTTTAGATTGTAAATCAAACTTCAAAGTAAGATCAAATCCTTCCATAGTTAAATGCCTAAGACATTTACACATTAGTTTTCACATTATACAACAACATAGTAATGTTCTACAAAACCTCTATCATGTACCCAACTTGCAAGACACGTGTTTTACTTAAAAGACAAGTTTCTTATATGTGCACTACATGGCCAACTTTTATTGCAAGTCATCAATATGTGCAATACATGACTAACTTGTTGGCCAAGTTTTTAACCTACTAGTTACCTACAAACATGTATAAAGTCAAATTTGCATCTTCTCCATAAGATATTATTAAATTTACTTACTTATTTATATTTACTTCTATTTAACTCTTTTAATCTAACTAAATATATATATTATGATATAAAAATAGATTAGATATTATTATTAAATAATATATGTCTATTTATTTTTATTTTTTTAAGTTTTTGAAAATGATAATAGATTATGTTTAGATTGTAATTTTATGAAAAAAGAACTAGTTTACTTGAGTCACTTTCTATGAAAGTGATCATAGAATAGAATGTATTAGTTAGAATATTTTCTTATTTAGTACTTATCAAGTTTGAATTGATATTAAGAATATATATAAAAGGAGATCATTATTTTTGTATATTAAATTTATCTTTTTTTAACTTATTTACAGATGAGAGATTATAATATTTTATTATTTTTACTATTAAAATTTTTGTATGTATGTTTAAGCTATTTAACAAATACAAAATTTCCAAAATAAAATCTTATTAAGAGAATTTTAAAAAATAATTGAACTTCTATTAAATATATAGATAAATTTATTATTCTATTATCTTTGCAAAATTTATAAATTCAAATTTAATCCCTAATAGTAACACAATCTTAGATATCAAGGAATGTATAGACTAGATGTGAAGTCTCTTTAAGTAAGCTTGGTTGCTTAACATGTTATACTTTGAAATCTCTAAGTTATAATTTATTATAAGTATTATAATTAATTTTTTTTTTGATCACTTACAATGCTACCTAAAATTTATAGATGTATTATATTTAAATATATATTTTTTTGTTTTTTCTTCATTAAAGGTTAAAAGTAAATTAAACTTTAGGTTAAATTGTATTGTAATTTGGCAAGTTTGAGAAAATACATACATACACACACACACACACACACACACATATATATATATATATATATATATATATAGTTCTTTCTTTTGTAAACTCATCTTTATTGTCTCAAGTTGGTGTAGTAGATAAAAGTTTTTGTCTAGGATTAAAAGATGAAGATCTTGGAGGTTTTTTTAGATTGTTTATGTTTATTTATCAAATCTTGTTTTTTTTTATGTTTTTATCAATGTTTGGATAATATTTTCATCTAATACACAAAAGTAGCAATCTATAAAAATGGTTTTTAATTTGAATTTTAAAAAAAAAATGTTGAAAAATTAATGATTTCAAATAGAATTTTGATCTTGTTTGTTTAGTCTAGCCTAATACGAAATCAAGAATAATCATTAGTACTGTTCTTAACATCATCTCCAGTAATATATCAAAATCCATCAAGAGGTATTTTCTATAGAAAAATCCATATTAGATTTTTAGATTGAATTTGATAAGAGTTGAAACAATAGGATTGAATTTCATAAGAGTTTATTCAAAAGGATTGAATTTTAGAATTCGTCTTTTTAAAGTATAGAATCTGACGGAAATTTTGTGTAAATTTTAAAGTTAGACGAACCCATCAAAATAAATTGGTAGAAATTAAGAGTGTTGTGAGTTGCTGATTTATTGTAGAAGGGCTATCGTTCTTGGATCAACATCATGAATGCTACAGACCATGATACAAACCTGCCTTTGTATGTCTGTTCATGGTAAATTACTGAGTTTTGCGACTAATCAAACAAGAATTTGATCTCTGAGATTCAAGAATTTGAGATTCAAGAATACCATCCTGCCTTTTGGACGAATCACAGGATTGGCTAAAGCAGTAGACCATACCAGATACTGAGCTAAGGGAAGATGTCAGGTTAGCAGTGTTGAGGTTCTGTTATCAGCTCATCGGTCATTCCTAAAGCCCTTCAGCTACTCTCTCTTGTATTCGAAGATTCCTGAACTTCTTTGTAACGCATATTGAGAACTTTTCTTTTATTTTTTCCCGTTTCTTTCTTTGTTGTTATGAACCTATCTGCTACTTATAGGATTCCAGATGCGTTTATCATATCTAAAGCAAGTTTTCTTTTGTGGATATTTATTGCGTTGTCCTTGTAAGTATTTTTCCAAGTCTCATTTAGCCCTTTCCAACATGGGTGGGTGAACCTAATATCCTATCTGCTAATAAGTTGTGCTACCACTGTTTTCCTTTCTGAAGCTCTGTAGTTTGTGACACACACAAGTGTAAATCCATCTAGTACACTCGAAAGGACCTGGGACAGATGCTGAGCAAGTTCTTCAAAGGGAAGACGCGTAGTCAACAGAGGTGTGATATGTGCCTTTTTGAGGCTTCTTCGTGTTCGTGATATGTTTGACCACGAAGTTGTGGCTAGGTCGCTATGGATCTTGCAGGTCGTGCCTCATGTGACCTTCCCCCAACCATGGATCTCCAAATTGTCTGTAGAGCTTCTCAGGGACTTCAAACAAAATACAGTTACCGATTGAAATTCTCAAGATATCTTCATTGAGATTATGATTGCAACAGAAGTATATTAGATGAGTGTCAAGATCAATGCTTCGAGATTGCTGTAGATGGCAGCTATGCACTTCTGGTTCTGTCCCTGTGCCATGCAACGATCAAATCTGCCTGAAATCAAAGTTTCTACACAAAACGACTGAAACTGCAGCTCATGTTTCTACACAAAACTTTTCTGCATTTGCTGCAGTGGGATTGTGCAGAGTATCATTTTGCTTACTCTTCAACAGCAGTTTGTTTGATGACATCTGGATGCGTGCTATTGGGATATTTGTGTAATCATTCGCACTCATTTTGAACGTAGACACTGATGTGCGGATGTCATTATTGGTAAATGCCATGTGTAGATTTCATGGTTTTCTTAAGGTTTATCCGTAAGTGAAGTAACAGTAACTATCAGACTCTACACAAGTAGCATTGGGCATATGATCGCATCAGCGAGAAACAATAGCATCGTCACCTTCAAACCCTAACTAGCTGCGACCTGCCGTTATTATAATCTGAACAATCTTGATTGTTTTCTTGATATTTCTTGATCATTTTCTTGATCATCTCCCTGGGTTTGTGGAAAAGGAAAAGAGTTAGCAGATCCACATCCAATGTCACTGATAATGACCCCTCTTTCCCCTAACAATTAGTGTCTATTTTGCTAGAGATGGAACTCTGATCCAATCAATTCATTACTTCCTCTTACAATAACCTTCCTCCGGAATCATTTTTCGCCTTCGGTGTTCTTTACAGGAAAATCGTTGAGGTTGCTGTTCCAGTGCGACCAGGTGGGATTGTGTATAGAGAGTTGTGTTGAGGTGGTTGTGATTATAAAGGAATTACATGGGTCCCAACCGAAAGTTGCGGCAATCATTCGTGTGGGAGGATGAGATGGTGGAGGTGCGGGAATTATTTAAGCGTGTTGATCGTGTGCGACAAAGTGGGTTCACGGGAATTAGTACTTGGAAGAGTCGTATTCCATCTGCAGGCACATTGAGCCAGAATAGATTGCAACGGCGTCGTGCCCTTTGCTCTGTAGAACTTTCGCACTTGAACTACCAGGAAGCTCCATTTGAATCGTTGAATCACTTGCAAAACATTCGTGGAATGTGTGCTCGCATCAAGCGTCAGGTTTTACAGTTCATACCCAAGCCTCTCATAGAAATTCTGTAGTTAATTTTGTGATTGCGTATGATTCTATAATAAAAAACTGTTCTAGTTTTGACATTCACAATTGTACTTTACTTTATTATCGATAATCATTTTGACTTCAGGATTCTGTATAACGAAGTTTATTTTATAAGAAAATATAATGAATAGTTGATATGTTGAATAGGATTATACTGTAGAGAGAAAGAAGAAGGACGTGGACTTAACAAGTCGACCATCAATTTTAAGACGCCCGGTTTCATCAATGAGTGTGAAAAACCGAGGGAAAAAACAACTTCAATTAGAGGTTGGCAGGCCTAGCACAAGTTCCAGTCCAATGAGAAACATAAACAACACGGGTCAGAAGCGTGGTGTTGGACATGCGTCTTTACAATATTACTCTTCAAGGCGTACCACCTTGAATAATGTTTCCTACAAAATGCGTTCAACCTCAAGCAACGCCACTGGCAAGTGCTTTACTAAGTTTCTCTCTGCAGCCCCAACTATCCTCCTAACCTTGCCCCATTTCATATGAAATAACTTCATTAAGAAAATATTGTGGTGCAAGCTTTCAAGTCAACATAACTCACATTTCTTCCTCTGTAATTGTATACTTACTGATGACTGATGATTTACGCAACACTTAAAACAGTGGTGATGCTGGAATGGATTGTTCATAAGTTATAAAGCAGTGTATGGTACTGTGCAGGATGTAATGCATATTGTGTATGGTCTTGTAGTGACGAGGTGACTTCCCCCTCTGATAGCGATTACTCCACTTCCACTTGGGTTGATTCCAAGCCACATGGTAACACTCTACCTGGTATTAAAAGTGGGGATACTTTCTCAAGAGTTATTTGATCAAAAAATACAAGAAACATAATCTTCTCGGGAATTCACTGTGGTGTGCATTCTTCACAATCCTTCACCAATAATCGCTACTTTTCATTGAATTTGACCTAAATCACACGGTTTTCATGTGACCAGGATCGGGCAGAGGGAATCCACTGAGCTGCATGCAACGTATCTCTCCTTACCAGGCTACCAAAGTGACACCAGCATCGAGTCATGGATCCAAATACAAGAGTCTCCCTTCCTCGACCTTAACGTATTCGGCTTTCACTGACTTACCAAAGAGAATGGCCACTGCACATTTGGAAGACGTTCGTCGTGAGTTCGGGGATGCTGCTCATCAGGATTGCAGCAGCTTGGGGACTTGTCCAACCCCAACCCAGGGCTCAAATGGTATGGACAGAAACGGGAGCCAGGATAGAGCCATCAAACCAGATTCAGTTTGTGACGATCTGGGTAGTGCTCCTTGTGATCGAGACTCGGAAGTGACTCGTCTGGTTGATGCTCCTGCCAAAGGAACGGTGCAATTTGATCTGGACAAAACTGGCAATGAGAGGAAGGCGTCCAGAGACGAGGGGAGTGGGGACAGTGAGAGCGAGGCAGCTGGAGATGGGGAGGAGGAGGAGGAGGAGAACGAGGGTGAGGATGGAGACGGGCAGGAGGAGGAGCATGAATGAGAACCCCCCCCCCCCTGGCAAACACACATACATACACAGTCACACACACACACATTCACACTTTGGGGAGAGCAGGGATGACGAAGCAGGCTCGCTCGCTCGGAGCCGTGCCCACAATCTCCCCTTGTTGTGAGCGTCGTGACTCCATCCATCTATCTATTCATCTATAGTTCATTGAATGAATGAACAATCCATCAATTAGTCATGGTGGGGGCCATGCTGGCTCTGACAAGGCGGGTCTTGCGTCGGAGCTCACACACTCACTCACTCACTGACACGGTGGAACCAAGGCCGGAATGACCTGGCAAGCCGTGGTGCCACGCTGGCTGACATAGCGGAGGTGAAGGATTTCAGGACCAGAATCCACCTCCACGTCATCCATGCCCTCCGAAGCCATCTACGCCACGTCCCCCCGCCCCCGACGGGCTTGATGGGGAGGGATTTCCACACTCCATCACACCAGCCAAAGCCTGGATCTCCGTTCCATCGTCACCTCTGTGACCATAAACAAGTTAATAAATCAACATCTACATAATAATAATATTACGACAATTTTTTTAAAAAAATCCCAGAGTTTCCTCTCCGCCAACTTTGAATAGTTCCAACACAATCAAAGATAGAAAAAGAGAAAGAAGAACAAACAAATGATAGAACTGGGTAGTTTATCATTATTGCCAATATACCAAAATATTAATAATAATAATAATAATAACCTTCATCATCATAGTACTAAATGGCCATTTTATGACCGAAATTCACATCTGATCTTTTACTTGTAAATTGTGGTTCTTTATGAATGTTTATGATCATTGTCTTTAAGAACATGAACTCTAATATTTATCTGTAAATGCACATTATTGATTCCATTCAACCTACATTAAAAAAATAATGAAAAAAAATTAAAAGTCCAAAATGTTGTTTTTAAGTGTGTTAACATTTATAACAAAATAAAAGAATGCTACATGTCTCACAATAAATACAATTGAATCTAAAATATGTTGCATAATCTTTTCAAAATGTTTTTACAAAATCTTTTGTAGTATTATGTATATTTATTAAATCTGATTTAAGAAAACCTTTCAGGATTTTAAAAAATTAAATGCTATGCAAACACTGAATGTTTATCTCAAAATATCATATATGATTTTTTATTACTTTAATTATTGAAAATGAGAAACTTAGCTCCTTCTTTAAAGACTACAGCCAGAATTCGCAATACATTAAAATATCCTTCATGAGAAATAAGTTGGTGACTCTTTATTTCAAGGTTAAAGCAAGAAGTTGTAAGCATTCAAGTGCTCAATAGCAAAGTAAAAAAAATTAAAAATGGCAAAGCCTTCAAAATCCCATGTTAAGTGATCTCTGTACATTGAACTGCTAGTGTTTAGCTTTTATATGTTAGAAAGAAAAGAACAGAAAAATCATGTTTGATGTATGAAGTAAAAATATTTTCAATTACAATTTTGGTGAAAAAAAATTTGAGGACGAGGATCAAAAAAAAATTTCAGGATTTTTGAAATTAAAAGATTGATTTTTTTATAATGAAAATAATAAATTTCTAAAATAAAATTAATATCAAATTGATTTGAAAATAATAGAGTACAATTGTAATAAAATTTGGTTGAGAAGTGCATTCTCTAAGGAAATGATTTTCATCTCAAGTGTCAAATGACAAATGTTTTTTTTTATTGGAAAGCATTTGATGTCAAAACTCCAAAAGCATAAGGCAAGAATTAAAAACCATTTTTTTTTTAATGTTTTCTATATGTCTTGTGTACAAAAATTCTTAATTATAACTTTGATTAAGAAGATGATATTATGCTATAAATTTACTTAATTCAAAGACCCTAATATAGATATCATGTAATTAGAAATTGTCATACGTAAGAGATTGAGTGCCAAAAATCAATATCAAGTATGCAATCTAAATCAAATAAGAATGCACAAGCAACTTGCTTTTTAAGAAAGATGGAAAATCTAATAATAAATTAGTCAAGCTATCTCTTATACCACAAAAAGAGAATCCAAGTGTGCAAGTGTAGAGGAAGAATCCTAAAACTTTACTAAATGGCTAAATCACCATAGCCAAGCAAAATCTTACAAATATAAGCTTTCTTCTCAAAAACAATCACAAGACTTAACTTGACAAGAATGTTAAATCAAGAGGGTTTTTCCTCCTAAATCCTCAAATCCTTATTGACACTAACAAGGTCAATTAACATAAAATGCTAAGTGGATGAAAATCCACTATACTAAACTAGACTACATCTATCCAATATGATTTGGCATCGAATGCCTATCATGTGATATAGAGTTTTTTTTACAAAGTATTTTGAATTATTTCAAAAATCCATTTTGCCATAGTTTAGAAGGTTAGCTTGGCTATCAAAAAGATTATACATTGCAAGATTTGAATCTTGTAAATCAAACTAACTATATTTTCAAGTATACAATTCAAGAACAACCAAAGTTGGTGTCAAATAGTCAAAGTTGGTATCATATAAATCAAATAGTCATTTGATTTATCTAGTGAATGTGATAATTTCACAACAAACAACATCATTGAACTTAAACTTCATATTGATTTCTACTTTCTTAATATTAAGAATAAAAAATAAACATAAGCTCCAATTAAAATTGATAATAAATATGAACTTCATTCAAAATTTGGAAAATCTCTCAATTTCATTTATGTCATATAAAATTATTTAAATTATTTAAAATAAAATATAAAATATCACACCTGGATATAAAATACCAAAATCTTATTTTGTTATATATTCACAAAAAACCTAGAAAGTACTATAGAACTAAAAAAGTTTCTATACAAAGAAGCCAACTTTTAAAAACTTTGGTTCAAAAGCCTTACCAAACTCTCTTAGTTGGTGAAGACAAGCCTTTCTTTAGAAGTCTTGGCCTTTAGATATAGTGTAAAGTTAAAATAGATCATGAAATAAATCAAATTATTTTCCACTATAAATTTAAATGTGTTAACTTATATATTGATTCTAAGAAGTATAAAAGGTGTTTTTTTTTTTTTTTATTTTTAAAGAAATTTCCAACCTGGGTTCTTACAGAAAAGAAATATATTCTAAAATTTCCTTTAAATATAATTCTGAAAATCATTTGGTTCTTTTTCTTCCATAAAAATATTGATTTATCATCAAAAGTAAGATGAAGTAAAAAAGTTAAACTTTTTAAGTTAAAAGGTAAAATTTGAATCATTTGAATAGATCAAAATGACATAATAAAAGAATAGTTGAATAGGAATACATTGGGGGGGGTAGAAGGGGTGTTAGAAGGGCGATGAATGCCATGCCTTGCCCTGTCTTTGCCTTGCTTTATTATGCCCCCCCCCCCCCCCCCCCCCCGCTCCTACATACTCCAGCCTCGTACATACCCCCCGCACCATCACCAGCACCAGCGATGGCTTCCCTCTCCTCCTCTTCCTCTTCCTTGGCAGAACGGTGGAAGCTCTACGGCAAGACGGCATTGGTGACTGGCGGCACGCGCGGCCTCGGGTATGTATCCTCTCCACCACCACCCCTCCTCTCTCTCTCTCTCGTTGTGCTGCCCCCCCTCCCGGGGTCGATCATTGTCTCCACATTGCCGCCTTTCTTCTTTGCATGTGAAGCCATGTCCTGGGTGGGTTTTGGGTGCAGGCGCGCAATTGTGGAGGAATTGGCAGGGCTGGGAGTTTCCGTGTACACTTGTGCCCGGTCCAAGGAGGGTCTGGATACCAGCTTGAATTCGTGGCGACAAGCCGGCTTCACGGTGGAAGGCTCGGTGTGCGATCTATCCCTGCGCGACGCTCGTGAGGAGCTCTTTCGGAATGTGCGAGCCCATTTTGGTGGCTCTCTCGACATCCTTGTAAGCACATGGAATTTCCCCTCAGTACCTCTTGTCCAGTTGATACTTGAATCCCACTTCTGTTGTCACTTCTGGCTTGCACTGAGACCTGGTCTTCTGCGCAGGTCAATAATGTGGGCACGAACATAAGGAAGTCGACGGTGGACTTCACACCCGAGGATTTTTCATTTGTGATGTCAACCAATTTGGAGTCAGCATATCATTGCAGCCAGCTAGGGCACCCTCTCTTGAAAGCCTCGGGGAATGGCTGCTTGGTGTTCATTTCTTCCGTTGCCGGTGTGGTAGCAGTTCGAAGTGGCACTCTGTATGCTGCAACTAAAGGTAGTGGGAGATTTTTCAGCTACATCGGGTGTTTTTATTGGTTTTAAACCTATGATTGTCGCAGAGGGATTCATGGTGTGGGTGGGATGGTGCTGTGCAGGAGCTATAAATCAGATAACAAAGAATTTCGCATGTGAATGGGCAAAGGACGGCATCCGTGTAAATAGTGTGGCGCCTTGGTACATAAATACAGACCTTGCGCAGCAGGTTTTGGCCAACCCCGACTTCAAAGCAGAAGTGGTGGGTCGAACTCCATTGCGGCGAGTGGGCGAGCCGTATGAGGTAGCTGGCTTGGTGGCCTTCCTGTGCATGCCCACTGCCGGCTTCATCACCGGGCAGACTATCAGTATTGATGGAGGCTTCACTATAAATGGATTCTATCCTACAGACTAGTTATTTTTCTCGTCTCACAACCTTTGCTTTGATGATCTCTTATCGTGAAGTTGGTAGATTGTACAATTGTTTAGGAATTGTGAACTGTAGGGACTGCAGCTAATGAAGTGTTTTCAATAGGAGAAATTTCTAGATTTTCGGCTCTATCCAGTCCTCCTAAAGATGAAACAGGCAATTTTTGCTAATCTTCAATGGAACTAACGAGTCCAGGCTATTGTTTTAGCTCCAACTTCTTCGACTGTTCAGTTACTCAGATATGACTATCCAGACTCCCCCCCCCCCCCCCCCTTGTTATTGAATTCTGGTTTGAACACCTGTGAGCATTGAAACTCGTCAGTCTACGAACTGTGTCATGTAATGAAATGGGAGAAAATTTGTGTACCTCAACTCGGAAAGTGTTATCATGGTATTAAGAAATTCACCTGGTGACAAATAGAATTTGGACAGTAACATACGAACGTCGACTTTTTAAGAGTAGATTTACAAATGCAATTTACATCTTTGTTACAACATTCTTCATTCATAAGTTGGTAGTTAGGGACCACGAGTGCTCTCGAAGTGAAGGATAGAATTGGGGGAATAAGGTTAAATGGATTTGAAGGTGAGGTGGCATGAGTTGGTAGGAGACGGACCTCCATGATCATACGGGGAAGTGGCACAAGATGGGAATGAACTCAAGGGAAGATTTGTATGAAACGTTCAGCTATACCATCCCTGAGCGGTAGTTCAAATACAGTGATTGCTTAACGAGTTGAGAAAGTGTTGATCAAGGCAGACGAGGAGGCCTCGTCTATGTTATTCGGAGGCCAAACCTGTAGAGGAACACTTCTTTTGGTCAGACATAGCATTTATACGAAGAGTAACATGTAGGCTCAAATCAAATCTACACTGGACGTCACAGCATGTGCAATGTGCTACTTGTCCAGTGTACTCCAAGAGCTAGGCAGACTGTTTCTGCTTTGCTACAACTGACAAGAACCGTTTGCTTCTTGTTTTATAACACTGGCTAAAAACTGGAAAAATAAGTGACGTGTATCGAATAACTAGGGGAAGAAAGCAGCAGTTACCAGTTAAAAACAAGAGAAGGAAAGGCGAGTATTCGGAAAAACAATGCAAGCAAATCGGAACATTCTGAAGGTGATGTAAATGAAAAGATGTCAATTTAATCCATTTGTAAAAAAAATGCATTAGTGGGAAATGAATATAAACAACTCAACATATTAGAAAAGTGTTCAATAAGCGCATATGTTCAAGCAAGTAGAATCAATCTCTTTAGTATATTATATCTACACTAAATATTGGTACAATGATGATCACAATGTACTTAGTGCAAGACCACCATCAAGGCACATGCTACGTGCTGGAAAATGGATTTATAAAAAAAAAATCCACTTCAGTGCTACGGGGTAAAAAAAACAGTAAAATGGTGTAGGCTCAATAAACCTCCAAGCTAGACATGAAGGGTAACTTAGTGGCCAGTCCCCCGACCTGTATGATGAAATGAGAACCATCGAAAGAATTGAATCTTTTAAGTGGTCTAGGGTTATCAAAATTGAGGTCCAACGTCTGCATGTACGTTGGTACCTGTAACCACGCAAGGTTTTCCTCTTTAGGTTCACTAGGTATTGGCTTCCTTTCCCTCGGCGAAATAGATTGCGCAACCTCCGGCACACTTTCTTGAGTCTCCCATTCTGTGCACCATGACAAATCTCTCCTCTGCGGCATAACAACACATAACGCTTGTCAATAACTACATTCGTTCCCCATTAAAGAATCAGAGAAAAATCCAATGCGTTTATCTCAACATGAGGATGAGTACAGTTTTTACGGTGCAAGATGTCAAAGAGTCATCCTCGTCGCAGGAAGCGCCAGTTTCAACTGCTAATCCCTTGAAATCAACAAGTTTGAAGTCTGAAATGGACGTTGAAGCCTGGTCCGTATACCCTCCTGCTAGAAACTTTGCGTCACCTCCACCGGATGTTTTGGCATAACACGCATCCGATGAGCCTGGGCTTTCCTGTCCCACAAGTTTCTGGGATCTGCTCTCTTGCTCCATTTGCCTCCATGCTCTCAGTGCTTCTTGTAAGGCCGCATTGGCCTGCATAGTGAAGGAGAAGTTTATTTCCACGCGGCAAGAATGATTTGACCATGGTCTCGCTTCGACATATAACATCGCCGGCTAGCATTCACTAAACATGGAAGAAAACACCAGTGCATGATATGGCACTGTTCCCCAAACGTTTGCTAGTAAATCCTAAGCAATGGCTAAAATCATACTAGCGATTGGAATTCCATAACGAGTCGAACCAGCATCAGGGTGACAAAGGAAAGGTACGTAAAGAGAGACAATGTGACTGTAGGTCACAATTTGATTGTGCACCTTGTGAGCGGCCTCTAATTCAGCCTCCTTTTTCCTGCGAGCCTCAGTCTCTGAGGCCTTCCACACACCCAACAATTTTTCAAGCGACGGACCAGTCTTGGTAGTTGGTTTCTCCGCGGAAACAGGGCTCACAGTACTTTTGTCGCCTCCAGCACGAACTTTCTCCATAAGCTGCTACAATCATAAAAACCAACAAATTCAAACTCATATGTATGTTTAATACATTGGGGGTATATGTGAAAAGTCCAGAAGTCGATAAAAAAAAAGCGGCAATTCAGAAACCTTTACCTTGTCACTGACAATCGGCGTCGTCTTCACGTTCACAGGATCAGGTGTTAAGCATGGAATTGATGACAAGCAACCCCACTTCTGTGCAACATCAAGAGGAGATTCGCCATAAACATTCAGAAGGTCCTTGCTCGCGCCGCGGCTGATGAGTAGCTCGACCAACTCAGGGCTCATCTGCAGAGCCGCGTAATGCAATGGAGTCCTCTCATTAGAGTCCACGGCATTGATGGAGGCTCCTCTCTCAATGAGAACCCTGGCCATGGTAGCGTGAGCACGGGCCGTAGCATAGTGAAGAGGTGTGCAACCCTGCTGGTCTCTTGTATCAAGAGCTTTTCGTGGCGTATTAACTATTAGAACCTTTGCGGCTTCATCGCTTCCAATCACTAAGGCCCAATGCAGGGGAGTGCGACCAATGACATCACGGCTGGTCACTTTTACAACCCCCTCTTGCAGCAAAATTCGAATCCTCTTCACATCGTTCTCTTTCACCGCAAAATGCAGCTCCGATGCGTACGCCCCCTCCTCCAAATCATTTATTTTTGCCATCATCTCACCCATTTCCTCAATTTCACACAGCTACGTAAGCCCCAGCGACCTAGCAGTTCTCTACGAACTTTCCTAAACACGTAATGCACTGGAAATCCTGTTTATTCAGGGAAGGATTGAAAGAAGTCCGAATGATACCGTTGATAATCCTACCCTAAAACATCAGAAAATAGTTGTAAAATCACAACTCACAGACGAAAATGCCCTTCAAGTAATAACGGATCCGCAGGCCTGCATTCACATCAACGAGATGTCATTGGCGAAGCAGGAAGACCTATAGAACGCCAGTGGACCAGAACAAACGCTTAACTCCAGAATCATCCATATAGTACAGAAAATGGGTTCACAGCAGAAAGGCGCACCTGTTCAGATAATGGCAGACTATCCTTCTCTCCCTCCTTTTCCTGCACTTCCCTTCACACCAAAAGGCAAAGATTTAAAGGCAGGATTGGGGGCGAGGGCTAGAGTGAACAGAGGCAGGGGTCCAATCATGAATAGAGCGACGTCGGAATATATGCGTTACGCAGCGAGTAGAACAAAATACAGAAGAACATTTAGGTGCAGGAGTTGGATTGGCAGCACGGAGAGGAAGTATCAGAGTCAATGCAAGAGAATGATAGAAAGGAAGAAAAGAGAAGGCAGGTGGAGTGAGTGAATGGGTGCGTGAGTGTTCGAAAGATGAGGTACTGTACAAGGCAGGGAGGAAAAGAAAGAGAGAGAGAGAGAGAGAGAGAGAGAGGGGGGGGGGGGGAGCAAGTCGAGGATGACGTCGAAGACGGAGAGATAATGTGGATGTCGGAGGAGCAAGGGAGAGTAGAGGTACGAGACAAGGTACCCAGGTTAAGTGGGCAGCGGCAGAGAAACAAAGAGGAGACACAGAACCACAAACCGAACTAGGAGCAGCTGAGAGCAAGGGAGGACGCTTGACAATGACTCGGGTAATGAAGGGCCCACGCGGATGCGCTTCTGTTAGATGTGAGTGATGCTGGCCTAGTACTGTCGTGTCCTAAGAAGCCTCCACGAGGACTTCGTCCCTCGTCAGCAGAACAGGTAAGCACTCACCACCTGCGCCCCTTCCTGTCCTAACCTCAATTTTCGTGGCAGTTTGTTTTATATTTCTTAAGTAAGAGGGACACTGTGTACAGGTGTGGCGAGCACTTCAGACTCCCCTTCACAGTCATTTTTCCTTTCCTAGGTAGAACCGATATGGAACCTGCTGTGGTCCCGGTTCATTCCTATCATCATTTCCTTAGACTTCACTTTCACTCTTAAAGATTGCTCAATAATATACCTCATGAATGTACCATACCCACGCAATCCTCTATAATGCTTCCGAATGGATATTCTGTGTGACTGTCAGTTTCACTCTTCATGCCACCAACTTCGCTTTCCGACTATTCAACTCTCATTGGGGTTCGGTTCTTTCCGTCCACTACCGCCAAATTTTCAGCTCTACTGAGCCTCCTCTCAGCAGCCACGAACGTGATGTCATGTCCTTGAACAAACAGCCAGTGGCAGGAAGTCCCTCCCTTTCATGCCCAGATTAGCTGCAAAGAGCTAAACCGAGAAAAACGGTCATCAGGGGCACCATCACCATGAATTTAGCAGGAGAAGGAGAAGCGTCGCACATAGTAAGGCAGGGGTGTGAGGGGTGTGGGGTGGGGGAATCCAGGGGCGGAGGATGTGCATGCGAGCCAGCATCTGAGCCCCGCTCCAGCAGGAGGAGCAAGAGGAGGAGGAGGGGCAGCAGGCAGCAGTCCTGCGCGCTGCTTGCGTGGGTGGGGGGATCGGCGTGGCGAGGAGGAGACGCCGAGTGGACTTCGCTACCCCCCCCCCCCCCCTCCCCCGCCTGTCGCGGTGATGTGCCGGTCTGCGTCTCGTGTGGCGGGGCACCTGCGTGAGTGAGTGAGTGCCTGCCCGCCCGCCTGGGCCTGTGGTCACGAGGGAGGAGAATAGCAATGTCCACCTGCTCCACACCACGCTATTGATACCACAACCCCTCCACCACTCATCCACAC